CACTGGATGATATATTTTACATAGGTGAATTATAATGGTATGTGAATTATATCTCAATAAAGTCATTTAAATAAATAAATAAATAAAAAGGTATACAATTCCCATTCACCTAAGTCTAGGCACATACTAATATACTTTTTGCCTATTTTTTTGGCGGGGGGGGGGGGGCACGAGTCACATCCCCAGCTATTTTGTATTCTATTTAGAGACAGAGTGTCACTGAGTTGCTTAGCACCTCACTTTTGCTGAAATTGGCTTTGAACTTTTGATCCTCCTCCCTCAGTCCCCCAAGCTGCTGGGATTACAGGTGTGCACCACCGTACCCAACTTCTGCCTCTTTAGATTTGCCTGTATTGCACATTTCCTCATACTACTGAATAATATTCCATTGTTCTGGTACACCACATTTTGTATATAAATTCATCAACTGATGACCATTTGGGTTGTGTCCACTTTGGGGCTATTATGAATGATGYTGCCATGAACACTCACATACAGTTTTTGTGTGGACATATTTTTTTAAAATATGGATACAATATCTTTATTTTTTTGTGGTATTGAGGATCAAACCCAGTGCTTCACGCATGGTGAGTGCTCTACCACTAACCACAGCCCCAGCCCTGGATGGACATACTTTTTTCATGTTCTCAGTATGTATTTAGGTGTGGGTATCCATCACTGGATTATATGGTAACTCTATGTTTAATATTCAGAGGAACTGCCTATTCCCAATGTGGGTAAACCATTTTACATTCCCACCAGCAATGTGAGGGTTCCACTGTCTTCATCTATACTAAACATCTGTCACCTGTCTTTTTATTACAGCCATCCTAGTAAGCCTGAAGTGATATCACTACAGTTTTGATTGACATGTCCCCGATGGCTAATGACAGGAAGCATCTTTTCTTGTGCTTGCTTGTTGGCCATTTATGTATCTTATTTAGAGAGTTGCCTTCAACCATTTTTAAGTTGCTTTGTCTTTTTTGAGTTGTGTCCTTGGATGTTTTTAATTGTTATGAAATCCAATTTCTCTTTTTTCTTTGGTCACCTGTGACACTGATCTGTTTTTTACTACATGTGCAATCACAGCTCTAGGAATCTACTCTGTAGCAGGCACAAGGGATATATAACAGTGAATGAGACAAAGAGTCCCATCTTCCTCTTAGGAAACAGTCCAGAAAAGAAACCAGACATTAAACAGTCATGCACTGCATAGTGCCATTTTAGTCAAGAATAGACCAAATATTGTTGGTGGTTGCATAATATTATAATGGAGCCAAAAAATTCCTACTGCCTAGTATTTTTACTATAACGTTCCTTATGCTTGGATACATAAAAGATACTATTTTGTAACAATTACCTACAGTATTTAGTACAGTAACATGTTATACAGAGTTGTAGCCTAGGAGCAACAGGCTATATCTTATAGCCTAGGAATATAGCAGGCTACATGTCTGGGTTTGTATAGGTGCGCTCTATAATGCACAATGAAAACACCTAAAAATGCATTTTTCAGAATGTTTTCCTACAGCTAGCTGCTGTATGACTACAGTTCCATATAATTATCCGTAGGAGAAATAAGCACTAAAGGAGACAGAAGATAAAGCAGATAAATGGATAACCCTGAGTTAATAATAACCGAGAACGTCAAAGAACTGAAAACAAATTCTCAGGCAGAAAGGACCTCCCAGGCTGAGTGCAGCAGCATGTGCCTGTAACCCCAGATACTCAGCAAGCTGAGGCAGAAGGATCATAAGTTGGAGGCCAGCCTGAAGAACTTTAGCAAGATTCTGTCACAAAATGTTATTTAGAAAAGGCTGGAGTAGGGAGAGAGCTTGCTTCACATGGGCCAAAGCCCTGGGAAGTTCTGGATTCAATCCCCAGTAATGCAAAAAAAAAAAAAAAGTGGGGGAGAGGGGGCGCATACCATGTACCATATGCCATGTGCCAAGGAGAATACTCACAATCAGACACCCGGAAATGAAACTAAGCCTCAAGGGTAAATATGTGCTAACAGAATGATGGAGAAGGAAGCCGGGATGGGGAGTCAACAAGGGGCAGAGATCTACTGCACCAAATCCTGCTCAGGACCTAGAACTAACTGATCATTGAACTTGGTGACCCAGAGATCATTGGTGGCTTTGGAAAACCACCAGTGGACTGTTTCAGGGGACAAACGGAGCAAACGGCCTGCCTGAAGGGAACTGAAGAGACTGGAAGAGAAAAAGCTGCCAAAGGGTCTAGCCCTTGGATGCAAATGAGGTTAACTGGAGGTAGCTGGAAGGTGAAAGAGAGTAAATGAGGCTGTTGTGCGTTTGGGGGACAAGGAGAAAAAAGTGCAGGTGTCCAGGTCTCATCCTCACAGATCAACCGGGGGCGGGCTCCCTAGTCAAGCTCGCAGCGGCGTGGCGTGGCGTGGCTTCCCACCCTCGCCGGGGACGGAAGGGCGCACGCGCAGACCCCGGGGCGGCCGGCGCTAGGCGCCCTTCCCGAACTCCGCCCCTTTCCGCGCAGGGCGCGTGCGCACGGCCCCTCGAAGGCGGCCCTCAGCGAGGCCCGGAACCGGAGCGCGGAAGAAGGACCTCGGCCCTCCGTGCCCGCCTTTCTCAGGCGTTCCCAGGCCCGCGGCACAGCCCCACCTACCGAATCTCAAGCGGAACAAACGCGTCGCGCTGGAAATTGCGACGGCGACAGTGGGTGCGTCCCGCGAACGCTTTTTCAGAGTCTGCGAATAGTAACGCACTTGCGTTCGAAGATTCGCGGCACGTCGAGAACCACACACGCTTTTTTTCCTTTTATGAGCTTGGTTGAGCGCTGAGGGCTCTCGTGCGCACGCGCGGCCCTTCCTCTGTGACGTGCCGCGCTGCCTCTTGGGAAATGTGGTTTTTATATTGACACCTGTGCAGGACTCCACAAACCATGGTGCTTTGTGTTTTCAGTGTCTTCTCCCACATCCCAAAGCTGCTGTAAAAAGCARATGTACTTAAAAGCGAGAGTGGAGCGCTCGCCTAGGATGCGCGAGACCATGGGTTTCATCCCTAGCATCAGAAAAAGAAAAAAAAATAGAGCAGATTTTTGATGGGGAAAGGAGTACCCCACAGGGGTTGTAAAAGATCTTTGCAGTTTCAACTCAGTTTTAACTGCTTAAAAAATATAAAGTCTTTTAATAATTAGGAACAAATTATAAACCGTTCTTTAATCCAGAAATCACAATTTTATAGAATCTCCCCAGGAAATTAAGAATGTGAATATACAAATATTTAGCTCCTATGATGTTTGTCAAAAGCCATCTTGTACCTTATGATTTCTTACAGAACTCCTATATAATATATAGTTATATATTAGTGGATTATTTGATAGACTTGCAGCTCTCTGGGGTGAGGCTCATCTGTTTTGTTCATCTAAGTATTCCCCGTACTTAGCACAGTACCTGGTACTTAACAGGCCACTGATATTTTTCTATTTATTAGAAAATCTCAGACTTCACACTGAAACTTTCAGCCCCAAAATTAACATATCATTTTCTTCCATCAAACTTGAATTTCTTCTCTGTGGTCTCTAGCTCAATGAATGGTAGGAACAGTCTACCCAATCTCAGTTCTGCATCCTGCATTTTGTGAATATTATGCTATTTAAGCATTTCACGAATTTTACATTCATGAAGTTCTTAGGAGCTTTCCCGAATGTCAAATATCCACTGTAGTTGCTCATGAGGAGAGACTTTAGGCTCACAATTGCTTTTTTCAATATTTTTAATTTATTCTTTTTACATATACAGGATGGTAAATTGTATTTTGGCATCTTATACAAACATGGAGTATAACTTATTCTAATTAGGATTCCATTCTTCTGGTTCACAATTTTTTTTAATTTTTTCTTTAATTCCTTATTTTCTACAGTAAACATATATTAACTTAGAAAATGTGTTAGTGGCACATGCCTGTGTTCCCAGCTAGTCAGAAAGCTGAGGATCATTTGAACTCAGCCTGGACAAAATAGGGAGATGCTGTCTCAAAAAAAAAACAACAACAACAAATAGATGTTGTAGAGCATTGCCCACATGTAAGGGAGGGCTCTGTCTTTCTTTCTGTCTTCCCGTTCATATCCAGATTTCTCAAAAGAATTATCTATCATCATTTTCATTTATTCATCTCACCTCCCACTCAGCATATTTTTTTTTTTGAGGCGGGGGTACCAGAGATTGAACTCAGGGGCACCCAACCACTGAGCCAGATCCCCAGCCCTATTTTGAATTTTAGTTAGAAATAGGGTCTTCCTGATTTGCTTAGTGCATCCCTTTTACTGAGGCTGGCTTTGAACTCCCAATCCTCCTGCCTCAGCTTCCTGAGTCTCTGGGATTACAGGCCTGCGCCACTGCACCTAGCAGTCTCAGCATAATTCTGAACTAGTACCTGTCCTCAACATCACCCTTTCCTTTCCTCTCATATTCAACCTACCACTAAGTATCTGCTGTATAAAAACAGACTTGTTGGGCATTTACTGCATGTCAGGCACTGCAGAAAATGCTTTACTTGTATTCATCCACAGAACACAATCCATCTACTTCCCCTCCCCCTCTACCCTGGTACTGGAGATTGAACTCAACATTTTAATATTTTTTTAGTTGTAGTTGGACACAATGCCCTTATTTTATTTGTTTTTACTTTCTATGTGGTGCCAGGGATCAAACCCAGTAACTTATGCATGCTAGGCAAGCACTCAACCACTGAGCCACAACCCTGGCCCTATCCCAGCTCTTTTAAAAATTTATTTTGAGAGTGGGTTTCTGTAGGTTGGCCAAGCTGGACCTCGAACTTCTGATCCTCCTACTTAGCCCCCCAAGTTGCTGGGATTCCAGGCCTATGCCAGCATGYCAGCTATTGTTTTAATTAGGTGCTGAGGTTGAGATGCTCATTTCTCCTTCGTGACACGCTATCTCCACTGGGCTCTGCTTGGCCTCTCTCTTGGTTTATATATTTTTGTCCCTTTAACTTTTTTCTTTACTGTTCCCCCTTTCACCAATAGGACAAGGAAATGTCCTTGTAAAATGTGGTCAGTGGTCTCATGTTTTCATCGTGATTTTTTTAAGGGTCGGGGGAGAGAGAGAGAGAATCTTTTTTGTAGATGGACACAACACAATGCCTTTATTTTTTTATGTAGTGCTGAGAATCGAACCCAGGTCCCGCCCATGCTATGTGAGTGCTCTACTGCTGAGCCACAATCCAAGCCCATCGTGGGTTTTTTTGTYTATCTGTCTATCATGCYGTGCTGGAGATTGAACCTGGGRGCATTCTAAAACTGAGCTACACCCACCCCCAGTCCTTTATGGTTTTTATTCCAAGACAAGGTCTTGCCAAATTTCCCAGATTGACCTCAAACTTGCAATCCTCCTGCTTCAGCCTTCCAAGAAGCTGGGACTACAGGCGTGCACCACCACACCCAGGCTTATTGGCATTGTGCTATAAACCTCATTCGATTTCTTTTTCCATTCAGGACTTACTTTTTAGAACTATCCTTGACTTATTCTAAGTCACATATTAGTACTTCTAATATGTGACTTAGAATAAGCATGTGGCATTTCAAAGCAGGTACCCACATTTTAGTCATTTGGACCCCTGATGGTGGACTTCTAAATTGCTTCCCATTACTTGCTGCCACAATGCCATAATGAGTGACCTCCTGCTTGTCCTCTCATGGCCTATGTGGGTATTTCTCTGGGATAAGTATCCACCACTAGGATGGAGCTATATACTCTTAAATGTTCTCCCCAAATCTCTTCTGACCAGAGTGGTCTTTTAAAAATGCAATTGTGGGACTGGGGTTGTGGCTTAGTGGTAGAGCATTTACCTCGCACAGGTGAGGCACTGAGTTTGATCCTCAGTACCACATAGAAATAAATAAAATAAAATAAAGCTGTTATGTTCATCTACAACAACAACCACCCACAAAAAGCAAATGTGTTCATGTTCTGGTATCCCTGTCTTCTTTCCCGCCTCCCTCCCTCCCAACCAAACCCACCTCCCTCTTCATGTCAGTCTCCTAGGCCTCTCCAGAGGCGCCTGGAGCATATTTATCTGTGTCCTCACCTCCATGTCTCCAGTTCATCTGCACATCTCCCTGACTGAGTCAAACACATTTGGTTTTTTGTTTTGTTTTGTTTTGTTTTTTGTTTGGGGGGGGGTGTTTTGTTTTGTTTTGTTTTGGTACCAGGGATTGGACTCAGGGGCGCAGCTCAAACACTTCAGGCAGACAGGTGCAGGAAACTGTTGACAATTCAATGGTTTTTGTCCCTGATGCATACACAAAAAGCCACCAGAAGGTGGCATCATATGCATGGAATATGAAGAAGGAAGAGGATGAAATACATTAAGTCATAAAAATTGCCTTTTGTCTGCTTATAAATTATACATTGTAAAGCTGGGCGTGGTGGCCACTGCAATCCCAGCAGCTCCGGATCCTACAGCAGGAGGGCTGTAAGTTCAAAGCCAGCCTCCGCAACTTCTCAAGGCCCTGTCTCAAAATTTAAAAGGCTGGGGAAGTGGCTTATTGGTTAATCCCCTCTGGGTTCAGTCCCTGTACCAAAAATAAATATTAAGTCCAAAATCTAAAATATATAATGGATAAAATAAAATTCTCTATAGTTCCAGTCTAGGACATCACCATTATGGAGAGTATGTACATCCCATAGTCTCTCCTTTTTATTTTCAGTAACTAAAAGATATTTTCTCACAAGAAAAGGATTACAGAAGCACAGCCTCAGGCTCTTAGGCTGCCCAGGGCTGTGTTGGGCTTGGGCTCAGGGTCGCCCTTAGGGGGCGATGAGGACAGCGCCATCAATGTCTGGGGTGCCCTCCCGATTCATGGCCCCTAGGGGTCTGGGTCTGAAGCAGCATGGTAGCTCAGGTTCTGCACCAGCAGCACAGCGGGTTCAGCTCCAGGAGGCGCCCCGGTCTCCTAACACAACTCAGCGTGCACTAACCTGACAGCCCTGCAAAACTGAATCCATCTTCCCCATCTGGACCAACGCATGTCTCAGAGTGAAAGCCACCAAGCTGATCTCAAAGATCACCCTGGGAATCCTCTTGACCTTCCTCAGAACTTGACCTTTGAAGATCAGTAGCCCATAGGCAATCCCAAGAACTGACCACTGTCCAGGACAGCAGGGCAGCAACTGCACCTCTATGGGGCACGCGTGGTCCATGGTTCAGATCCTTCTGGTAGGAGTGATTTTTTTTTTTTCATTTAAAAATGTATTAAAAGCCCAGAGCAGTGGCTCACGCCTGTAATCCCAGGAGCTGGGGAGGCTGAGGCAGGAGGATTACAAGTTCAAAGCCAACCTCAGCAACTTAGTGAAGCCTTGTCTCAAAATAAAAAATAAATAAATAAARGGGCTGGGGATATGATTCCATGGTTAAATGCCCTTRGGCTCAATCCCTGGTACCAAAAWTWAAWWAAWWAAAAAAMATCATCCATTTATATTCAAGCTAAGGATATCACAGAGCCAGGAAAATTGCAAGCACAGCTGTAAAATTTGAGTTTCTCTGGACCAGGGTTATGGGGTCTTAGCGACACATTTAGAGTCCCCTAGCCATGCAGGATATTCATCCCAGGGCACTCTACCACTGAGCTACATCCTCAGCCCTTTTTATTAATCTTAATTTAATAATCTTGATGAACACATCATGCCTTGGAAATTTCYGGATCCTTTGAGTCAGTGACTTCTGTATATCCCTCAAACTATCCAGGACTTTCTGATTCCTGTTTAACTCCTGGCTTTGGGTGTGTTTTGCTRTCTACCACACAGACCCCTGCTCCACAGCCCCCTGAGTTTACTGCAAGTGGATCCTGCTGGGTTGTAATAGGTGTGTTTGGCAACCTGCTGGAATGTCACAAGGTATGACCCTAAGCAGAAAGAATGCAGACTTCCTCGTGCCTGCTGCTACACACAGCTGGAGGCTGCAGGACGTAAAACCTCATCTCTTGACTTTTCCCGTTGAGTCATCTTTGGGGCCCTATAAGTCCATGTGTAGCATTTCCCAGAAATACCTTCTCTTTTGACTGCTGGCCCTCTGCCTGGCCTTCTCCCCAGGGTTTAGATTTCCTCCTTCCACACCTGCAAGATCAAAGCCAAAGAAGACGCCCTTGCCTGGCTCCATTGCAGCTGATCACATGTCTTCATGGTCCTCTGTGTGACTAGGGCAGGGCCTCTCAGATCCCTCAGAGCAGAGAATCTGGAAGCTGAACAGCAGTATTGACCTCAGCAAAGCTTCATATATTCATTCACCYTGTCATTTATTAAGCTCTGACTGTGTGCCAGGTGTCGAGGATGCAATGATAAGACAGGCAAGACTCCTGCCCTAATGAAGAATAACTAAAACAGCAAACATTTATGGAACACTTGCCACCTTCTAGGCACTATGCTATGCTAAGAATGACTTTTTAGCCAGCTTTTCACAGTGGCAGTGTGGTAGCCAATGAGGTTTACCCAAGGCGTGATTGTTACTATTTGAAAACTTTTCCCAATACCCTGCCATGACAATTTGCAACATGTAGTCAGCACTGGTTTTAAAAAATGAAAGAAAAAATTGRCTTTTCAATCCTCATGAGTCCCTCACCCTGGCCTCTACCCAGAATAGTCAGTACCATTATTAATCTCATGATTTGTACCCACGGTCTACCTGACCCATATTAATGTCATTTGTCTTTCTTTCTTTCTTTGGTACTGAGGGTTGAACCCAGAGGCATTTTATCAATGAGCTAAGTCCCCAGCCTTTGAAACAAGAGTCTCACTGAGTCTCTTAGGTCCTCRCTAAGTTGCTGAGGCTGGTTYGGAACTCACAATCCTCCTGCTTCAGACTCCCGAGAGGCTAGGATTACAGGCACRCGACACCAGGCCAGCATGTGTGTTATTTTGGATAAGAATGTGTTGATATGCTGAGGAGCCATCTGCTTCACTGCACAGAAACTCCAGAAGGTACAGCTTATGGTGGGTCTCTGCATCCTCAGCACACCAGGTCCCGAGCAGGACCKTTTGGGAAGAAAGGGAGGAAGGAGGGAGAGAGAACCCCTGACAGGTGCCTCCACACAATGGAGGAGGCAAACCTTTGCCAGTGTTTGGTCAGCTGTGCGGACTTAGAATGAGCCCTGGAACTGGGGTCAGGTAGACCGTGGGTACAAATCATTCATCACTCACCAGAGTGTGACCTTGAGCAAGTCACCCTCAGAGCTCCCCCCACCCCCTGTACTGGGGATTAAACCCAGGGGTGCTTTACCACTGAGCCACATCCCCAGCCCTTTTTGAGACAAGGGTCTCACTGAATTGCTGAGGCTGGCCTCCAACCTGCAGTCCTCTTGCCTCAGCATCCCAGGTCACTGGGATTGCAGGAGTGCACCACTGCATCTGGCAGTTTTTGAATAATGGGGAAACGGGAGTAAGTYATGTGCCTTGCTCTGGGCCAAGTTCTCTCACATATGGATGCTCTCACTGTCCTCCCTTTATAGGTGAGTAAGCAGACCCAGAAGTGGGAGGGCTGGGTGTGGCTCAGTGGTAGAGCACTTTCCTTGCATGTGTCCTAGCCTGGGCTCAATCCCCAGCATTAGGAAAAGAAAGAAAAGAAAGAAAAAAAAAAAGAAGAAGAAGAAGTGTGCCCAAAAGCTCTCAGCTTGTCACCCAGTAGGCTGGTGGCAGAGGCCAAAAGGTGAAACTTCCCCATAGGGGACTCCTTAGAAATCTACGAGGGGGTGGTTTGGGTGTCACAATAAGAGGGAAAGGGGCCCAAACAACTCCGTATGGTTAAGTATTGTCCCGTGTCCTGCTAGATAGTCATGTAAGTAAAAAACTTATTTTTGATGATCTGAACCTGAAACCTAACCCTGTCCCATTTGATAATAGAGGAGTTATTTTGCTACCACAGTGCTGGGCTGAGTGGCACTGGCCTGTAATGCCAACTACCTGGGAGGCAGCCTCAGCAATACAGCAAGACCCTGTCTCAAAACAAAAAGGGCGTGGCCAGGTGTGGTCGCACACACCTGTAATTCCGTCGATTTGGGAAGCAGGAGGATCACAAGTTTAGAGGCAGCCTCAGCAATTTAGTAGGGCTCTAGGTAACTTAGTGAGACCCTGTCTCAAAATAAGAAATAAAGGCCTGGGGAYGTGGCTCCGTGGTAGARTAGCTCTGGATTCAATCCACAATACCAGGGAGGAAAAAAACAAAACCCAAACCACCATGTCCCAGGAACACATATTTCCTAATTTTCTCCATGTCACCTTATCTTGGTGTGTTATCTGTGTTTAAATTAGGGTTCTTTTTCCTCCTCTTGTCATCTGGTCTGTTATTATCCCAACTCTGCTTTGATTGGAGAGGCCTTCCGTTTTCACTTTTGTTTCCTGAGTATTAAAGAACTCACACATCACCCACAGGAAAACAAAAGCTAAATTTAGTTGATTCAGGAATGCAAGCAGAAGGACAGCTTCTGAGCGAAMCAAGGGTGACCCTGGGCTATGAGAGGGCTTGGGTGAAGGACGGATTTGGTGACACTGAGATGACACAGGATTTAATAGATTCACAGGAGTGTGAGCAGAGATTCATAGCTGGCCTGGCCTGAGAAAGTCTTGCTTCATTGGAAACCAGAGTGCTTTGTTTGTTTTTTAAAACGAGGAACATTTTGTCTGTCCACCTCCCTGCCAAAGACAGCAGGGTGGAGAAAATGTGGGTGGGCACCTCTCTGGGCCAAAATGACTCATATGATTTAGATCCTTYAGGCAAACATGGAATATTTCATTTCCACATGTTTCTTATCTAAACTTAAAATTTATACAAATTCCTATCAAATTCACATTTAAGGACAGGTGCCATGGCACTCGTGGGAGGATCTCAAGTTCAAGGCTGGCCTGGCCAACTTAATAAGATTGTGTTTCAAAATTTAAAATAAAATTTAAAAAGAAAGAAAAAAAAGACCTGTGGACCTAATTCTGTGATAGAATGTCCCTGGGTTCAGTCCCTAGTACCAAAAAAGTCACACTTAATTCATCCTTAAATTCACAATAATTCATAATTTTTTGTACAGGGGATTGGACCCACCCAGGGCTGCTTTTCCACTGAGCTACCTCCCCAGCCCTTTCTGGTTTTTATTTTGAGCCAGAGTATCACCAAGGTGCTGAGGGTCTCACTAAGTTGCCCAGGCTGGTTCAAACTTGTAATCCTGCCTCAGCCTCCCAAGTCTCTGGGATTACAGGTGTGTGTACCACCAGGCCCAGCAGAYTATGCTTTTATCATTTTATTATAARTTAACTTCTTCTGTCCCCTACATATTACAGTGAGAGCATTATATTAGAAAATGTGACCGGCGTTTATGTAGCCCTCGCATAGCATCAGGCAACGCTGTGAGGGCCTCTCCGTGAATTCGCTCATGGACTCCTCTCACTAATTCTACGGTGTAGATAGAATGTCATCTTGGTCTTTAGAGGAAACTGAGGCACAGGAGGTGGAGTGACATGTCCAAGGTCACAGAGGCAGGAGTGGGTTGCGACTTTGAACACAGGGCCTGAGGCTGCAGAGTCTGTGTTCTCAGCCACCTGGCTGTTCTCCCTCAGGAGAGGACGGTCACTCAGGGACTCCATGCAGGATATTAAGGGGATTTTCCTTCAAGAGACGGAGGTGGGAAGCACTCGCAGGGCACATGGTGTGTTGAAGTCCCCCTCCCTCCTTCTTCATTCCATATTTGACTACCACAACCTGAGTTGGAGCCTGATTGGGGAACAGCAGGAGGGCAACTCTGTGGCCAAACCCAGGCCCAGAAGGAGCCAGTGGCAGAGGGTGGAGGCTGGACAGGAAGGAGTGACGCAGGTGAGGCCCTCGGTCTCTGCTGGCCAAGATCTCAAGGACTGTTTATGCCCAGACCCTGCCTCCTCCCTCTTCCCCCTGAGAGGCGGGAGTCTCCACTGTGGAAAAATACCCAGCAGAGAGGGAGGAGCAGTGGCCCAGCTGCTGGTTCCCCTCCCAAGACCAGCACTTATGGGCTGGGTTCTGGGAAAACCAGATTGCATCAGACAGGCCCCAAGGCCTGAAGCCAGTCTGTGGTCGAGGCCAGCCTTATAAGTCGGGCTGAGTGAGCCGGAGAGCACAGGCGCTTGGCCCGGAAACCAGACACAAACAAAGCCCCAGGAGAAGAGGAGAGGCAGAGAGCGGCCAGACATGATGGCCACCTTGCCCCCCGCCACCAGCCCCTCCCGGCAGCCCCCAGGCCCAGAGGACGAAGAAGCCAGCCTGGATGAGTATGACCTCTACGGCCTGGCCCACCCTCACGTGGGTAAGGCCACTCCGCCACCTCCCCGGTCCTTCCACTTCCGAGTCCCTCCGCCACCCCAGGTCCCCGCTCCTTGGTCTCCCCCATGTCTTGCCCTTCTCTAGTCAACTGGTCTGTGGCCCCCATAAGTCATGTCCTTCTAACCCCTGAGCCATGGGGCATCACACATCTGGGGGACCCTCATTCCACATACGGAGAAATAGCAGGCAGGGGTGCTGCTGTCCCCTGGTTGCATGGTGACGCCCCTCCAATGTCCCTGCCCCTTCTACCCTGGCAACCCCCATCAACCACCTCTCCCCTGCATCACGGTTCACCTCCATCTCCTTCTCTGGGTACCAGCCGGTGGAGGCCGGAAGGGTCGCACCAAGAGAGAAGCTGCTGCCCACACCAACCGCCCCAGTCCTGGAGGGCACGAGAGGAAACTAGTGACCAAGTTCCAGAACTCAGAGAGGAAAAAGGCCCAGCGCTGAGGCCGAGCTGGAGGTAAGGAGCCAGGGAACAACGGGGCCAGGGGAGGTGTCTCTGCTGTGAAAGGTCAGGCCTGAAGGTGTGCGGGGAGGGAGGGAGGAGGAGCTGCCTCAACATCAGAATAAAATGAGACGGGTTTCCCAGCACACAGAGAGGAACGCAGAACCTTTCCAACGGAGGGACATCTGGTCTACAGAGGGGGAAACTGAGACCAGAGAGGGTCAGGCTCTTCTCTGGAGTCACAGAGGAAGGGAGTGGGAGAGGCCGAACCTGAACCCAGGCCTCTGTCCTTTCCTCCCCCCAGATGAGGCCAGACCACGGACACTCCACGCAGACATGAAGACAGGATTGCCAGGAATGACCCAGAGGCAGCATCCGGGCCTGCCAGCCCCTRACCCCAACCCCAGGACTCACCCCGCCTGAGTGAGACCCCGGGGACCCACCAAGGAAGCATCTCCAGGCCCAGCAAAAGGGCAGGCTGTGGGCAAAGCAGGGATGGACAGGCAGAGTCAGGACAGTCCACCCCCCTCAAAAGAAATGCTGAAGACACTGGAGCCCCCACCCAGGGCACAGTGACAATAAACAACTCTAGCAGCAGCAGCTCGTCTCTGTGTCTTGTGTCCTGGTTCTGTGTGTATTTTTCGTTGGGCATTTCCTGCCTGTGTGTCTCCAGTGCATGAACCAACAAGAGAATCTGTGGTGAGCTGGCTCTTCCTGGAGGGACCCAGGCTGGGCGCCGTCTCTTGTTTTTATACATACGCTCCGGTGAGGTGTGTGCATTTCTGTGATTTCTTATGCGGTGTAAGGGCATTTCCTGTTTCTTTGCAGTGATGCCGGTGAAACGTGCCCCTCCTCAGTTCCTATCCGTTCTTGGATGTGATGATGTCACCTTTATATAAAACTGCCTTTGGAAGAGATTGTTAGTTATTGACGCCATCTGCAAGATGGAAAAACAAAATAAAATTCAAAACATGGAGGGATTTGCCTTCTGTGACTCAGGGCTCAAATTCAAGGACTCAGATTGTTCCCAAAGGCCCTTCCAGGAGAGGGTTCTGGGCTGTCAGCTGGGGAAAGATTCTAACCCAGTGTGGTCGGTCTCAGGACCAGCTTTCGAAAGAACGTGGTGTAAACAAGAATGTGGTTGGACCTACKTGGATATGTTGATTACCAAAGATTCAGACAACACAGGCTAGAAAGTTCTTTGTCTCTCACACAACAGCCCACAGGGAAGGTACTTGTGGGCTAAAATGGCAACTCTGGTGTGTCAGGGATTCCTGCTATTTTTAACCCATTGTTCTGTCATGCTCAAAACATGGCTTCCACTCCAGCCCAATGTAGCTGCTCCAGTACCTGTCATCACACCTGTCTCTCAGCCCATGGAAGAGGTAAGAGACCAGAGGAGAMGGCACCTATTCATTTCTAAGGGCATCATCTAAAAATAGAACCCTCACATCTGTTCAGAATTTAGTCACATGGCCACACCCAACTACAAAGTTCTGGTAAAGTAGTAKTTAGTTGCTTAAGCCACATGGTTGACCAAACTTGGATGAGGGCAGGGTTTTACTATTAAAAGAAGTGGGAAAGGTGGGCTGGGGTTGTAGCTCAGTGGTAGAATGCTTGCTAGCACGTGCGAGGCACTGGGTTTCATCCTCTGCACCACATAAAAAAAATAAAGCAAAGGTATTATATCCATCAACAGCTTAAGAAAGAAGCAGCAGGAAAGAATGAATTCTGGAAGAAACTAGCAAGCGACGTTACCCACTTACAGACCCAACAGAAATAGGAGGAGAAAGCCCTACCTCCAGCCGACTTGACCTTCCTCCTTTTCTCCTGTCCCTTCCATATAAGCTCTAGGTTTTTCTTAGGCACCCAAGAATATGGACAGAGGACAGAACCTGTTGGAGCAGTAACAGATCACAGCAGACTGTGACTAGCTGGAGCACCTGGGGACCTCTATTCAGCCACCTCCCCTGAGTCCAGCCTGATAACAGAATCACAGAATCCACACCCAGCTGGGAAGGACRTGAAAAGACATCTGGTCGACCCCACCCCTCACAGCACGGGATGGCCGCTGCTTACCCGAACTCCACTGGGCACGGGACCTGGCTTCCTGTGGAGGTTGCCTCGTCCACCCTGGGGCGACTGCTTGATGCGGGCTGAAATCTGAGTCGTCTAAACCACCTGCCCCTGAACAGGCTTCTGTTTTTCTTGTCCTTTCTGTCACACACCTTGCTCACGGGCCTCCTTCTCTTTAGTCTTGTGCCCTGGAGCACCGACTCCTGACCTCCTCCCCGCAGGACCCTTCTCTGGGATTGCACAGTGAGCCTCAGCCCAGAGTCTCATCCTCAAGTTGACACGGGGCTCCTCCTGATTTCTCCTGGAGCCTTGTAGATTATTCATTCAATGTTTACTAGATACCTACCATGTTGCCAGGGCCCRACCGAGACATGGACTGCAAGGAGGGACAAATGAGACCCTGGTATGATGGGGACCAGGCCTGATRGCCACCAACAGCTTTAGAACCCAGGGCAAATGACAGCCCAGCACCAGCCGGCGTGCTCTTGGCCTGGCACTGACCTGGACCGTCAGCTTCAGAAAATCCCAGCGGCAACTCCCATGGTTTGGATTCCTGCTCTGTGGCAAGTTTTTGTTTGTTTGTTTATATTTTTTTTCAGTGCTGTGGATCAGACCCAGACCCTCTCACACACTGAGTAGCAATCTACCACTAAGCTACCTCCCCAGCCCTGTGACAAGTGTTTTATTGTATTTGTTCCATGTCATCCTTTGGGTTATTATTATTGATAATATTATTATTATTGATCCCATTTTTTCAGACCAGAAAACTAAGGTTCAGAGAGGTTAAGTAATTTGCCCAAAGTCACACAGCCTCGGGTCTGTTTGATTTTCAAAGCCTGGACTTTTTCTTTTCTGCTACATGCYTGAAAAGAACCAAAAGATATCGACAATGAGGGATCCTAGACTGTAATTAATTTCTGGAGAACTATTCCTCTGAGCCTTCTTTTCCTTGTCTGTCAAATGGTGAGACTAGTCTCCCTTCTGTCAAAGGAGAAAGTAAAGGCGGAGAAGTGCCTGTCCCTAGCTGTTGCAGCCACGTCCCAACAAGAGTCCTTTGCCTCTTGCCAGGAGGCCCTACACACCACCCCTCACTCTTGGCCTCTGATTGGCCTTCCCGTGCCTCACCCCTCCCTGGCACAGCCTCCGCCTGAGAGGCCTCCTCTCTGTTCCCAGAACTGTCAGGGCAATTCTTCAATCACAGAACTTCTGGATCAGGAAGGTGCCTGTCTAGAATCTCCCTCCTCTGTCTCTGCCCCTCCTTTCCTATCCCCTTTCTTTTTCTTCTTCTGGTTGCATGTAATGTACGTTTCCCCATTGGTGGGGGAAGGGGTTCCTCCTGAGAACTGCAGAAATCACTGACTTGTTTCCCCTTGGGGACAGACAGAAACTTCCCTGTGAGGTTTCCATAACCCAAAGGATTCCCAGCAAATTGTGAAGAATTGAGAAACTCGCTGCGGGGTTGTCCTGGTCCTCCACATACCCAGTTTCTCAAAAAAAAACAGCCCAAATATATATATCTTTAAATCTCAGAATGACCCAAAGTTAATTTTCAACCAGCACTCCTTCAAGATAATACTAATAATAGTCCTAGTCATAGCTGCCACTATCGATGATCTGGCTCCGGGTTTTCCCAACTGCGTATTTCACATAGAACTCTCGTGATTTCTGCTGTCTGGGCATTCAAACTATACTGTACTGACTTAGCCTTAGAAAACTGGCCCCTTGCCTTTTATACTCAGATGTATTTTTTAAAAGAAACTATTTAACCACCCAAAACGGAAAAACCACAGTTAGGTGTCGTAATTACAAATTAACTGGGAAAAAAAAAATACCTAACTATAGCTTCTTTTAGAAGTTCATCTGTCAGCCAGGTGCAATGGCTGTTCACCTGTGCGTTACCTACAATGACTTTGTGTACCAAGAGTCACAAGTGTACACACTTGGGGGAGCACATAGTGTGATACTGTGATATAATAAGAGAAATATACTAGTTGCCGGGTGCTATAGCACATGCCTGTAATCCCAGTTACTGGGGAGGCTGAGGCAGGAGGATCATAAGTTTGAGCCCAGCCTCATCAACTTACTGAGGCCCTAAGCAACTTAGCCAGATCCTGTCTCAAAATGAAAAATAAAAAAGTGCTAGGGATGTGGCTCAGTGGTTAAGCACCCCTGGGTTCAATCCTCCATACCAAATAAAATAACAAAAAACACAATGATACATAAACGCAGGTTCAGTGTTTCTGCAGTATGATGACACACTTGTTGAGTTAAATTTCTATTTCCTGCTCTTTTTCTGCCAGATGCTGCATGGAGGCCAGGCTGAGGTCTCCCCAGGACTCCCTGTCCCCTCAGGACTGCTCCAGAGTGGAGCTGGGAAGGGGCTTGGAATGCCCTTCACCTCAGCATCCTCTGTGAACACTGGGGTTTGCCAAGATGGCCCCCCTTCCTGCACTACCTGTCTGCTCTTTATTCTTAACTCACACAGCCCTTGCTCTTGGTTGGTGTCCTCTGGGCCTCGTCCCACAGCCCCCATGTCATACCGGGGTTCAGAAGCACCACTGGGGTCTATCAGCCTGGAAAGGGGAATAAGATCCCCTCTGTCCTCCGTCATCGCCCAACTATTCAGAAGCAGCAGGACACAAGAGCCCTTTCTCTTTGCCTTCCCTTTAAATTCTCTCTTTCCTTGACTTGGGGGACAAGTGTAATGTTTCCCTCCTCCTCCAAAACTCACGTTGAGATTTCATTGCCTTTGTAACAACTTTAGGAGGGGGAATCTTTTAAGTGGTAATTAGGTCTAGAAGGTTCTGCCATCRTGGATCCTGAGTAGAGGGGACTAAAGGCACATGTGCTGAAACCCGCTGTTAATGTGGGGTTTGGTTTGTTTTTTGAGGTACTGGGGCTTGAACCCAGGGTCCCCTGTGTGTTGGGCAAGTCTCTGCCACTGAGCCACATCCCCAGCCCCACAGGGGGCCTCGATATTAGATTTCTCAGCCTCCAGACTGTGAACCAACAGGTTCCGTTAGTTAGGAATGACTTGTTCTCCGTGTTCTTTTACAGCAGCCAAAAATAAACTAAGAAACACCCCAACATGGGTGGCAGGAGAGCCCTGTGGCCCTCACTGATGAATCAAGAGGCGTTGAGAGTGGAAGGGGCTGGGGRAGGCGCCATCTTGGTTTGCCCATATGCCCATTTTAGCCACCCACAAGGATGGTTATCACCGCCACRCTGAACATCACCAAACCTGCAAGAGGGAAAAGACCTGGAGCTCAGGTCACTGCTAGTCCGAGTTGGAGCCAAGAGTGGACCAGACGTGGTGACCCCCATGTCCCTCTTTTCCAGAGAGTTCTGTGGCCTTATTTTTATGACTAAGAGATCTCTGAAATAAAACGGCTTATTGAGCAGTGTGTTACTCATGGTAGTTGGGGGCCAACGGACTTATCCTGAGACAGATTCCCTAAGCCACCAGCATCACRGCCACAGAGCAGTTGAAAAATGCCCATTAACCAGGTACAGTGG